GCTGTGGTTCTCAGGGATCAAATGTAGATAATTTCTGGCCCCTCATGTTTAGTGTTCAGTGAACTGAGAGGGTCTTATTGATGGAATCCCATTCTGCATACTCCCACTCTGCCTTCAGTATGGTTGTGGTGTTTATACTGTGTCAGCTTTTGTTAAGATGAATTATGATCATGCCCATACAACTGGGTGGCAGTTGTGGGAGTTTACATTATCAAAGCAAAACTCAGACTTGCTTAGCCAATTTAGATGTCAATAAAACCTTTGTTACTTATTTTCAGTTTTATCATTGGTTGTAATTTATACTTAGAATTGAAAATGTTAACATGTATGACTGAGTTTGTTTTAATTAAGTGCATAATTAGGCTAATGAACCTTGTGAAAACGTAGTGGTGCAATCCTTAATATAATCTAAGCAGTTGAATTTCTAATTATACATCCCAAATCATGCTGCATTTCAATGGCTTTGCTTTCTGTATTCTTCTTTGCACTGCCCCCCCCCCCTTTATGTTAAGAAACATTGCTCAAGAGCCATGAGGATAGGCTTAAAGAAATAGTTGTGTATTTGCATATTTTTATTGGAGGGAAGTTATTCAGAAGTGAGATTCGTACATAGTGGACATAGTGTTTTTTTCCCCCAAATTAAAAAAAATATATATAGGAAACAGTGGAAAAGGGGGTAGGCCTGGAGATGTTTCAGATTTATCAGGAAAAAAAAAATCTATGTGCTCAGAAAGCATATGTGCTAAGTAGGGTTTACATTAGATTTGCACACGAGGTGCAGGAGTCTCTGCTTCTGTCCCCCTAAACCCTACAGACACGCCTTCATAAGTCTGCCTGCCACATTCATCCATCCACCATGTCTCTTCTTCTGCGTCTGTCAGCACAACCCACCTAGGCAATTCTGCTTCTGGGCTGATCCCTCCAAGTAGAGCTCACCTGGCTGCCTCTCTTCCCTCTTCTTCTTCATATATATATATGCATGTATTTTTTTTTTTTTCTTGTGCAAGGTGACTTCTGGAAAATGGTTGTCCCCAATAAGGAATTCTGGTACTGACTTCCTAGAAGAAGAACTATTCTCTGTCCTAGCACACTGACATACCAAAATGCTCGGAATTTCGTTAGCTTCGAGTATTTTTTCTAAAAAGTGTTAAAGGAACCACAACACCATGGGCAGTCAGTTCTTCATCACTTCAGAACAAATACTGGCTGCTGGTTGAATTTGCAAAATATATACCTAACATGTGTTTTTAATTATACAGTTTGAGATGGCTTTAAATTGAAAGTGGGAGGTATGGAAATCTCCGTGCTTGCTCTCATGTGTTTCAGGAACATGAAAGTGTTATCACTTACCCATGATTTCCCTTCAGAGGGTACTTTTCATTCTCAGTCTTGCTGTTATGGTATCAGTTCAATTTTCTTGTGAAGTTTTTTTTTTTTTTTTGATAGTTCATTCCCATTCCTTTTGTAATCATTTTCACCTAGTGAAGCAAATGAGATAATTTTGCAGATTGTACCACTTTACTTTTAAATTAATCCATTCTTTTGGAGAGAATGATTCTAATAGTGTGGTCAAGTACTTAGAAATCAGCAGGCTACTAACTTCTCCTTAATTCAGTCTGTTCCATTGATTCCCTGATCACTTGCTGTGTTACTCAGGGTGAAATTCATCCTCCACCCCCCCCCCAACCCCGCCCTCATCAGTATCCTAATCTTGAGTGCCGAGAAAAAGGATTCTGAGATTTTTGTGGCTATTTTAATAACTGGATTGTAAAAGCCTCTTTTAATAAACTTCTGTTTATATTCCATGTAAATGTGATGGTGTATTTATTTATGATATATAACATTTTCTACTGTATATTAGGATTACTGATGAATTAGGCTGTATATGCGGACTTAGAAAGACAAGCCATTCAATAAATGAAGCATGTCATGCTTTTTTACTTTGAATTATTATTCTAGAGTGATTCCCGGCTGGGGGTGGGGTGGGGAGTAGATTATAAAAGAAAAATGATTATTTAGATGAATACAAATCCATAGACCTATTGTGAAAAATAGTGATGCCACTTGTAGAATTAAATTACAGATTTCCAAGTTGTGTTATTTTAAACTGTCATAAATACTGAAAGGATCTATCTGGGGTAAATTTGTAAATTTAAACAAATCATCAATAATAGTTAACTGCTGAATAATTTTCATTAAACGTAATCTGTCTATATATGTGTATAGATATGTTTCTTTAAAAATATGTGGGCTATTTAGAATATATAACATATTTCAGAGTACATAAGAACCTAATAATTATTAGTCACTTTTGATTGCAGGAGTATTGTAACCATATTGAAAAATCATTCATGATTTCACCGATTAAAAACTAATTAACTAACTGGAGTGATGCTTGGTAGGGCATACTCTTACTGCACACTGAATGCATGCGCTGTGGAATAGCTTTCTTGGTCTATAGAGAGATTTAGCAACAGGTGTGGCACCACATATCTGGTTATGTTATGATTGGCTGTGGTGGCTGAGTCATCTTTTCCTTCAAGCTGTCCTTTTACATGGTTGCTTTGATGGTAAAGTGGCCAAAATGTTTTCTACTTCTCATACTACCAATGACTGATTTAATTTGATTTCTCAAATTATTTTCTCTCATTCAACAGAATAATAGATACATCTTAATAATAATAATGTGTTGTCATAGAATACCTCAATCAATTGCATGGAATGCCTTAGTCAATTGCACGTAGAAACACACTAAGACAATAGGGAAGTATGGGGAGACAGATCATGGGCATGATGACATTTTAACATAACCTAATTATTGGTGGCATATTGTGGAATCTCTTCCTTCCACATAGGACTCAGACAGTTAAGTGCTTGTACGGCTATGTCAGTATACTTTGTTCTCACCTTTGAGCCGAGAGAATTTTTGTATTTGTTTAATTCCAGTATATGGTAGTAAGTAACCAAAAATTACCTGTGTAATAATGTTTTTATCAGTCACTAAGATTTTTTTAGACTCTTACACTAGTAGGTACTAATCATCAAATGTTAAAATTACAAAAGGCAATTTAAATATTATCTCTTCCGGGGTACCTGGGTGGCTTAGTCAGTTAAGCATCCTACTCTGGTTCGTGAGTTCGAGCCCCGCATCAGGCTCTGTGCTGACAGCTCAGAGCCTGGAGCCTGCTTCAGATTCGAAGTGCCTCCCTCTCTCACTGCCCCTCTGCTGCTCATGCTCTGTCTCTTTCTCTCTTTCTTTCAGAAATAAATAAACGTTACAAAAAATTAAGAAAAATACAACTTAAATATTATCTCCTCTGATTATTTTTGCATGTTAGTAGACTTGACCATAGTAAAACATGCTGTAGTATACTTAATAATAAAAATTAAAATGAAGTTAAAGTATGATTCAATAAATATTCATGAAAGAAACAAGTTTAAGCTGCAAAGTAACAAGTGAAAAAGGACTTTTGTTTTTAAGTCAATTTATTTCAGTTCAATCATATATTTGGTGTAAATGACATTTTCGTGAAAAAAAAGAATCTGAATCTAAATTTCCCTTTGATTGTATTCTATTTTGCAAAAAGTTTGTTAGAAACATGAGACTTGTTTGTATCAGCTCAACTCATTCAGTTTTCCTTCATTAATGATCTTGCTACCAGCTAGGTGCTTGAGTGTGCCTTGCTGAATGAATCCCATCTTGTCTATCTTCCAGTAGCTTACAATGTACCAGTAAGGATAGATAGGATATATATATAAGTAACAATTGTAGGGGAGCGAGATAAGTGGCCACAGAACAAACAACAATTACTGTAAACATTTAAAAGAGGAAGCTATCTATTTGGCTTTTTTCCTGGAAAGCTTGTGTAGGACACAGCAAAGAGATCTATATCTTCCAATAGAATATATTCCAATAGAATATATGCCAATAGAATATATATAGGCTATTAAAAACTGTGGTGTCTTCAACTTTAATTTTGGCAGGATTCTAAATTCTAGTATCTCTATGGATATTATCTCTAAATATTAGGATTATGAAAGAAGACCCAAGCTTTGGACAGGCCAAAGATTCATAAAAATTTTAACATGATTATCATATATAATTTATGTGAACTATCAAGTTAGTCACAGCACCAGAAGTAGGTGAAGATTCATGTTCCTTGTACTCTGCCATATAATGTTTGCCTCTTGTCCCAGGGTATCTAGACTGTCCTTCCCGTCAGTCAAGAAATTAGTGCTCTAGACAAAGTGACAGTAATAATTTTTGCTTTTTTATCTCCCTATTGGTCTCTTTGGAGAACTTTTAAGTTCATTCAGGCTTTTCTTTCAACCTGCCATTTGAGCCCATGTTAAGAGGTGACTGATGTTATTTGAGCTGCCACTGGCTTTGTCCTATTTGTTTTCAAATGGAAATAGTGGCAACAAATTAGTTGCATTTGGGAGACCTAACAAGATTTTGAAATTCAGAATATTAGGAACTATCAGATTCAGATGCCAAGAACAGAAACTTTCCTGTTTTTCTTCACAAATGCACAATGTGGTGAGGTTCACCTTTCTTCGTTACCTGCGCTTTCACAGAGAGATAGATGGGCTTTGCCGTCCGCAGTGTACCGGCTGGCTTCAAACAGAAAACCGAAATAGCCAAAGCTATTCACAAATACACACTCATCTATGTTCCACACTGTGATATCTACTGAACCATCAGGCGAGCTCTGTTTGAGGCATTTCTAAGCGTGGAGAGAAGTACACGGTTTGTTTCGGAAACATAATCCTGACAAGCCGGAAACAATTTCTTACGTTTATTGAAAGGATCCATTTCTACACATCATTTATACCGTTGTGCTTTTTGTGTTGGTGTTATTTTCAAATGTATTAATAACGATTTAATACACTCCTTTATCAGGAAGTCTTTGTAAATATAGTACCAGCATTAAAGCAGTAGGGCATTGTGCATGGTAGAAATATTACATGTGTAATGATTTGCATTCTTAATGTTCCAGAACCCTGGGGTTATTAGTAAAACGATTGGAGAAAGGTGGTAAAGCTGAACAAGAAAACCTTTTTCATGAGAATGATTGCATTGTCAGGATTAATGATGGCGACCTTCGAAATAGAAGATTTGAACAGTAAGTGTATGCCGGCTATTCTGTTCTTTCGTGCTTTCGGCATGAGACAGTGTAGCGCATTGCAACGCTTCTAGCCACGTCTGTGCCTCTGTCCTTATCCTGGAGAGAAGTATTTTCTGCTGTTATCTAGCTTTTAAAAATTTAATCAAACTCCAGGTAATTACTACTATTAGACTATATTTCAAAATGCCCTCTGACTGATAGAGTGCTTCTTAAAATAATGTGGGTCCGATTTTGACTTCACAATTTTTCTACTTCCTCACCTTTTGGAAAATTTGCCAGTGTGCTAGTTTTTATTATCCTTTAACTCACATTTCCAACTTTGTTGCACATCATGACTCTGCGTATGGATAAGCGGAGAGAGCTCCTGTGAGCACAGTGTGGTCCACTCAGATTTTCTTTATCCTGATTCAAGTCCTCATTCAATTAAAAAGATGACAATTGTCCAGGTCTTATTAAAAACAAGACAGGAGTGAGCAGAAATCAGAAGGACGTGGTGTATGTTCTGAGTCGGGAACCAGTGAGAGTTGGAGCAGTTTCTCAGGCTGGTGACAGAAATGCACTGGGACCAAAACTTTTCATATTTTGAGTCACATCGGTGTTCTTGAGATCTTTGCATACACAGACTTGAATTAATTTTGCTGATAATGGATAGTTGCTCTCTATAGTTTTCTAAGTGTATTTATAAGTATATTCATTTCTTCAAAAACTCAAGTCATCCCCTTTGATTTATTTTTTAAATGTATTGGATAACATCATAGAGACAACATTCTATTTAATTTCTATTCCTATCGCAAGAATAACACCTCTGTTGTGCTTAAAATTATTATTTAATGATTTGTGATTGAGATTATAGTACTTTATCTGCAGTTGTAGACAGTTGTGTCATTTTTAGTTTGAGAATGAGAAATTTGTATTTGGAGAAACAGCTATTCTTTTATCAGAGCTTACAAACTTGATTGATAAATGGGATATTAGAATTTTGTTTTTCAGTTTCAACGAAGTCTATCAGTTCTTGTTGCTTAATTAGTGTACTTAATTAAGCTCATAATATCTCCTAGTCTGCCAGTCTCCTTTTGCTAATTTTCCATTCTTTCTCAAACCCAGAGCACAACATATGTTTCGCCAAGCCATGCGTACCCCCATCATTTGGTTCCATGTGGTTCCTGCAGCAAATAAAGAGCAGTATGAACAACTATCCCAAAGTGAGAAGAACAATTACTATTCAAGCCGCTTTAGTCCGGACAGCCAGTATATCGAGAACAGGAGTGCGAACAGTGCAGGCCTTCAGGCCCTGCAGAGAACACCCCGACTAAACCACCCGCCCGAGCAGATAGACCCTCATCCCAGACTACTACCTCAGAGCACACACCCCTCCGGAAAACCGCCCTCAGCTCCAGCTCCAGCAACCCAAAATATATTTAGTACCAATGTAAGCAGTGGTTACAACACCAAAAAAATAGGCAAGAGGCTTAACATCCAGCTGAAGAAAGGTATGAACCTCCTTGTTTTGTTTTATGGAATTTATTTTAAAAATCAACCCATTATTCTGTGAAAGAACTGATACAATGACTTAAAAATATTTAAAATTGTATTTCTTATGCTTTTCAGGTTCATTTTGCTATTTCAGAATTAACATACAAAGTTCAGAGAATAAAGTCTTAAAAGTAAGCTTGTGTGAAGAAGGTAGCAGTAAAACTTTTTGGTAACAGAGGTAATTGCTTTCAGGATATTACTATTAAACCCAAAACAGTAATGAGGAATTGCCTGTTTAGATGACCCCCTTCGATATTCAGATACAGCTCTCAAAGAAGACTTTAGGGCTCCTCCATTTCAACCCGATCATTTTGGCAAGGGCAAGTGATTGATTGGTTTGGAGCTGTAGCGGTTCGTGGTAGAAAGTAGGTTCACCAAGCAGGTAGTTCCATTGGCTCCTTGTCTCCTACTTTTCCAGAATATTGAACTACTTCCCTTTCTTAGGGTGACAAGGGAAATTTTAATGAGCCTTGCCAACTCTTTATTACATACATCTTACATCTATTAATTTATTTAAGTATCCATTCCATAGTCTATGCATCTTTTTATATAGGAAGCATACTTTTCCATTTTGTTCTTCTCAAACACTCAGAGCTGACTAGTAGGCTTGATTTTCTGATTTTCAAACACTGTCCCCTCGAGGCACCAAGGTACACTTTTGCTGTTAATCATTCGTTTTAGCTGGACATTTTGATGTATTTTTAAATCATGTCTTTCAAAATGATGTCATAAAGAATATTTTTCTTTTTGTGAGCTCAACCAACTCCTACAGTCGGATGGAAATGAATCCAAGAGATATTGAGTGATTTCCTTAAGTCACATGGCTGTTGGCAGCAGATTCTTACTAGAACATTTTCCATATCCTGACATTTAGACCATTCTTCTTTCCATTTGGAGCAGGGTGTACAAGGATGTAAACTCTGAGATTCCTGTTTCCTTTCTAATCATATTCTTTCATTGAACTTTATGTGAACCACAAACTCCTTATTTCTGGTTACTGACTTTTAAGCTCCAGATACCTGGTTGACATGATCAGGAATTGACAGCTTTACTCCACTTTGAAACCTCTTACAAATGCAGAGTTATATCAGCATAAACCCCGTTTAGCTTTGTTAATTCCTGAATGAGATAAATATCAGATCCTGTCTTACTTTTCCTCTACTCAAATGACAGGCCCTGTTTTTTAAGCAAAAACAGGTTAAGAAACACAAATGGAATTGTATAAAAGATAAAATTCTGCCTGGGATCTCTCAACAAAGGGAAAATATTTTACTTGGCTCTTGTCATAAAGATATCAGTTTATAAATACCATTGCCCTTGTACACTGGCAGGCGTATTCGTTTAGTTAAATACGGTTTTTCACACAATTGTATATTAACAACTTATGAAACAATATGAACTTTTAGATAAAGTGAAATTTTATTTGCCACTAAAAGAAGCATTCCTTTGAACACAAAAATTAACAGTTTTATTTTAATAGCATTTAAAAAGATATGATTACATTGACACAGCTAATGGAGAAAGACTGCACTCAATCATCAAGATTAGAAAAATGGAAACAATGGTTTTCTTTGAAATGTTTTTCTGACTTTGAGGATTCTAAATGATATAGAGCCTCATGGCTCTATCTTCATTTTAATTTACTGTGAGAATGTATGACAAAAGGCTGAAACCAACTGTGTATTCTGTCAATAGTTAGAAATAATTTTATTTGAAAAATAAATTACGTTTATGATAAATGAGAGTGAAGAAGCTGATTCTCTTCCATTAATGCTGAATACATATTTTAAAAATAATGATTGTATGAGAGTTGAACATGCTTTCATTGTAGCCAGCTGCTAAGATTTTTACCAATTAGGATTGTTACATTTAACATTTTTGATGAAGTCCATCAAAAATTTAGGGTGTGTCGGTGTTAAATTTTAAACTCAGTTCAAGGTGAACTGACATGCTTTGAATGATAGTTCTTCATAAACTGAGTTCAATTCTATTTACTAAAAAGACAGGCCTTCATTTTAATGATTCTTTGGCATAATTTAGGAACCCTGTCATATAACATGACAAAATAGGATAGCCCTTTATGTACTTGCTTCCGTAATTATGATTTCTTAATATTTATTGCCATTTTGCCATTCTCAAGTACCCTGCTCTTTTGTAGAAATTAGCTTTTTAATAAAGTCAGAGGAGAAGGTCAGTAATCTGTTTCAGTCAGTGCAAAATGTTTTGTTGGCTTTGCTAAATGAAAATTGATATCTATTTATCTTTCTTTTAAAGGTCATTGCCTGGACTTTTAGCTTACAGATTTAGGGGTTATTGCTGATATTTTAATAGTATTGAGGTTCATGTAACAGTCAGTCTTTGTGGTTCATACAAATTAATATTGCGAAAGGAGCATAATTTAGAATTCTTTCTTAATAAATGTTATTGCAAGTCATTAGAGTTTCATGAAAGCCAGAGACATATGGAAACATCCCAGAAGAATAATTAGGAAAATTTCATATAGACAAGATGCCATTCAAGTCTTCAGCACATAAGACTCAAAAATTAACAGTCCAGGCACATTGTTAAAGTGACTTCAGACTTGATGTAAATGAATGTTTTATAAGAACTTGAAAACATGTAGGGTAGGTTTTGTTACAGGTATAACAACAGAATGTAATTTTTTTCCCTTCATTTCAGCTTTGTTTCTTCTTTAAGCCACGTTTTCATTCACAGTTACTAACTCAAATCATTTACTTACAGATTTATACTCTTGCTTATGGTTCCATATTGAGTGTTGCACCAAGTTAGTGTATTCTTCTGCAGATTATTCACCTTTATGTAGCTCTTTATTCTTCCCACATGAGCAATATTTCTCCTAGTACCATTTTGACTGAAATGGAAACCAATATCCTAAAAAGTAACTTTTTATTTTTTAATGTTTTAATATATTTCCTTATTTATTTTGAGACAGAGAGAGAGTGTGTGCCAGCAAGTGCAAGTAGGAAAGGGGCAGGGAGAGAGAGACAATTCCAAGCAGGATCCACACTGTCAGGGAAAAGCCCAATGTGAGGCTCCATCTCAGGAATCATGAGATCATGACCTGAGCTAAAATCAAGAGTTGGGCACTTAACTGACTAAGCCACCCGGGTGCTCCCAGACTAACTTTAAAAAGTTCTGGTTTTGGTGCCTGGGTGGCTCGGTTACACATCTGACTTTGGCCCAGGTCATGATCTCACGGTTTGTTGGTTCGAGCCCTGCATCAGGCTCTGTGCTAACAGCTTGGAGCCTGGAGCCTGCTTTGGATTCTATGTCTCCCTCTCTCTCTGCCCCTCCCCTGTTTGTTCTCTATCTCTCAAACAAAAAAATGAATAAACATTAAAAAAAAATTAAAGGGGCGCCTGGGTGGCTTAGTCGGTTAAGTGTCTGACTTCGGCTCAGGTCATGATCTTGCGGTTAATAAGTTTGAGTCCCACATCGGGCTCTCTGCTGACAGCTCAGAGCCTGGAGCCTGCTTTGGATTCTGTGTCTCCCTCCCTCTCTGCTCCTCCCCAACTCACTTGCTCGCTTGCTCTCAAAAAAATGAATAAAATTAATAAAACATTTAAAAAGCTCAGGTAGAAATTAATCATTATTAGAAGTGTTATAAAAATTGTGTGATTCATTAGAAATTTGTTGTAGTCTTTACATTTTTTCTTGGCTCATTTTGGCTTGTTTTCTGTTGATTCTAGTAACTACAACCCTTTTTCTGCACTGCATTGCCCTTATGAGTGCATATCAAGAAAGCTGCTTGAAGAACCTAGAATTTAAATTCTACGGAATGTTGCAGTAATTTATAAAGGCCTTGTTAATTTCAGTACTTTTATTTTATTTTATTTTATTTTATTTTATTTTATTTTATTTTTTTAATGTTCATTTATTTTTGAGAGAGACAAAGCATGAGCTGGGGAGGGGCAGAGAGAGAGACACAGAATCTGAAGCAGTCTCCAGGCTCTGAGCTGTAAGCACAGAGCCCAGTGCGGAGCTCGAACTCAAGAGCCATGAGAGCATGACCTGAGCCGAAGTCAGACACGCAACTGACTGAGCCATCAGGAACCCCTCAGTACTTTTAAACATAATATGATGATCTGTAGACTTGTTAACTATGATCAGAGATGGGGTCTTCACTGGATAATTTGCCTTTGTATTTTATTTTAAAAATTTTACTGATTAATTGATCGAGAATATGTAGGGTGAGATTTAGGTGAACAAATCTAGGTCCTGTCAGTAAATTGTTGTAATTACAGTTTTGGGAGGTTCTGATATCTGTATCTAGTAAAACTTCTCTTTTCCCTATTTCTTTTCCATCTCCTGATCATTTTCTCTTTCCTTGCTTCATCTCCTGCCCTTTAAATCTGGATACCAGTATTGCACAATAATGATTGATTTTGGGGGTACTATGGATTGTGTCAGAATTTTTTTCCACATGGAGAGTTAAATTTATTTCACACGAAACATTCAGGCCAGTTTAAAACGTTTAGCTGTGGTATTTGTATATTACCTTTCATTTATCTTGGACTAGATTCACATTTCTTCTTAGATTAAAGAATTTTGAAGTATAAACCATTTAAACCTTCCATAATTTAGTCTACTCTGAAAAAGCTATTAAAATCTTTATGGTATTAAAAGCAATGTAGGCCCCTGTGAACACTAAAAAATGTCAAGTTTAGGTAGAGAATAACAAATCCTTTATGTGCCATACACCTGTGAAATTCAAGGTATCTCATTTACTTCTTTTGTTGTTGTTATATGTTTAGGTACAGAAGGTTTGGGATTCAGCATCACTTCCCGAGATGTAACAATAGGTGGCTCAGCTCCAATTTATGTGAAAAACATCCTCCCCAGGGGGGCCGCCATCCAGGACGGCAGACTCAAGGCAGGAGATAGACTTATAGAGGTGAGTGACTTCTAAAAGTCAAAAGTGCTGTGAGTGCTAAAAAGTTCCATTTTTAAGGGTCAGTTCATTTGTCACATTTTCATAAAATGAAAATAAATTATATATTTTAACAGAAGTACGCATCATAAAACAGTGAATTTCTGCTTTACTTCTACTTTTTCTATGTTATTTGATGAGAAATATCTTTTCATTGAATTTGCTCATAAATTTTTAGTTACTCAGACATTTGGTTTATGAGATAACGTTTGTCATTATGTAAGTACAGTGTCTGTTAGGTTATATTTCTAGATGGCTTTAAATTTATGTCTGGTAATATAGAAATGATATCTAGTTTGTAATCAGAACACAGACAAATGTAATAAATGAAAACAGTGTGTCTTGATGAGAGGAAATTTTGAAATGGCAGCATGGAGAATGAATTGAGACATAAAAATCAAATGTCAGAAAGAAAATAGTTTTTCAGAATTTCCTTTTCTGTACCTCAGGAGTTTCAGTTCATCGGTCTTTGAGACCATCTTAGACATACGTAAACATACATAGAAATTTCTGTGTGTGTGATCATTTGTATATATAGAAATAAAAGGAAGAAAGGTTGAAAAAATCTTACTAGTCATTTTTCTTAGCGTTTTCTTCCGAGAACATAGTCTGTATTCTTAGCAGCATATATTGTGTTTCCTAATTTTAACTAGTATTCAAACCCTAATGTTAAGAGGACATTTTTATTGCATTACCTTTTCTTCTTTACTCATAACTTCATATGTAGTTTCGAATTCTGCAGATTGAGGTTTCTTGAAAAGTAATTGAGCAAAGGATTGCCTTTCAGATTTTTCTATGTCCACATTTTGGGCCTAGATTTCTTAAATCTTACTTCTTTCCTGGTCGTATTGTTCATGTGACACCATTTTTTAAAGGGGCACTGATACAATCTAAATAAAAGGAAAAGTCTAAGTATGAATTATATTTAGAGTGTTGTTTCCAGAAAGGACCACTTGTCCTTGGGGCGTAAACTGAGTAGTATTAGTCCAAATTTGCATTTGTAGCTTTTTTTTAAGTAGTAGGAAGCTCACACAGGACTTGAATCTAGTCATCTTTGCCTCTGAGTGTCAAAAATGTGTGTCCTGCACCAGCCCCACTTCCTTCCTTCCTTCTTCCCTTCCCTTCCCTTCCCTTCCCTTCCCTTCCCTTCCCTTCCCTTCCTTCCCTTCCTTCCCTTCCTTCCCTTCCTTCCTTCCCTTCCTTCCCTTCCTTCCCTTCCTTTGCTTTCCTGCTTGCTTTATTGCTTGCTTTCTTTCCTCACATAATTGCTTTACTCTCAACACATCACAAAGGCAGTATTTCTATTTTTGAACATTGGGAAGAACCTCCAACCTGTATTTCTTTAGAGTTAGGTTCTGTAGCTGTCAGCTTTCTTTGAAACTGCATTTTCAAACATTTTAAGCCTAACTTTCCACGATTTGTACTTGTAGCTATACAATATCAACAATCTTTTGAGCAGTTTTTCTGAGCATCTGGAAATTGGAACGCATATCTTAAAAAAAATAGTATCAAATCAGTAATTTTTTTATTACCTGGAAATTTTTCCTTTCTTTAAACCTATTATTCTTAAATCTTTCACGCATTCACTTACTAGCATACATTGAGTGGTGGTAGATTGTGTTTGGTGGAGAGGGAAAGATTCCAAAAAATATTTTAACTACAAGGATATTTTGATATTACAATTTAAATAATATACTTTGTTGCCTTTGACAAAATTTTATTTTTGTCTAAAGTGAATACTGAATAGTTTTTAAAAGAAATTTTCACTTTTATTTCTTTTAAGTGTATACTGCTATCTGATAATGTTATACTTCTTAAAGATCAAAATGATGAGATTCCTCAGAAATTGGCTATTTTAAATCTCTTTGTTTTGGTAGAATTCTCTTAAACCATTGAAAAATATTGAGGTATTGCTACCTCAAACTATTGCTACCCCTTCAAAAATGTTATTATCATTCTGCATTCTTCCTTAATGCTTGCCTTTTAGGGATAAAAAGTTATCTTCATAGTTTTCAGTAAAATTTCATTGAAAGTTATACCAAAAAATTTTAGTGTGGTTTTACTATCCCCTATAACCTTGTTATTTTCTTATAAGAAAATCTATGATACACAAGGCCATCAAGATATCTCAGTTCAAAGCCAGTAAGTTTTGTGTTAACATGATAATTTGGATATAGTGCTTGTTTATTGCTTGTTACTTGTTAGTGCTCTGGTAGCTGTGGCTTTTGGTTTATTAAAGAGCACTAAAAGATTTACTGCTTCCTGGCTCACTTCTAGATACCTAGTCTATATTTCTTTGTTAACCACAACAGCCTGGTGGCTAGCAGATCATGGAAGAATTTACCATGAAATGAATTGTGCTCCATCGTAGACATGATTGGTTCTACGATGTGTGTCTTTTCTTCTGTCTTACGTTTGCATAGGATTGCAGCTGAAAACTTTTTATTTGTTTTAGGTAAATGGAGTCGATTTAGCAGGCAAATCCCAAGAGGAAGTTGTTTCCCTGTTGAGAAGCACCAAGATGGAAGGGACCGTGAGCCTTCTGGTCTTTCGCCAAGAAGATGCCTTCCACCCAAGGGAACTGGTGTGTAAATTTAGAGCAGATGAATGATTTCTGATGAACATGAGCCAGGGATCTGGGCTAGCCACCTGATGGCCCATGTTTACTAAGACATTTTCCAAGTAGTGTATATGTTTTATATATCTTTCAGCCTTAACTGAATATAAGCATTTTTTTCTTATATTCTTTTTAGTTTTGGAAATAGATATTCACAATTTTGAATGTAGGGGTCTTTAAAAATCAAATTACATGGATATTTTCTAGGACAGCACATGTTTATTACTGAACACTTTCAGATGGACTGATTGAATACAGAGATGTTGATTATTTCATAACTGTCACTTCAAAGGCTGGTGTTGAAAACGTGCCATCTTCTCCACTACATATGACAAATTTTCATATTTCAGATTTCATAATGCATTTAGCTAAACCAAATAAAGCTTCTTGCTTACTATTGTATGAAAAGAGTACCTTAAAGTATTATTGTTGAAAGTAAGGAGTCCTGAGTGGCACTGAGTCCCATGGCCATCAATTACTAATATAGACCTTATTTGGAATGACACAGAAACAAAAAGGCATTTGTTTGCTATTTATTTCATTTTTTATATGTGTATCAATATGTCTAAATTCAAGAGGTATTTACATAGTATTGGTGTGAATGAAATATGTATACTAAACTGACATAGTTTGAATGTTTTTCTGCAAAAAGTGCCAGGTTTCATTTATTGTGTAAAAACAACATAATTGGAGGAATCACTTTTATCTTTTGATGTGGTAAGAAAATTGTTTTATTTCTGGGACAAGTGGTATTTTAAATATTTCAAAACAGATTTGAGTTGGGCCATATTAGAACATTTGACATCTCTTTCAGTTAGTTCTTAAGCTGTCTGCAACAATTAATCTGTATCTACTGGAGTGTCAAGGTTTAAGGGGGCCCAGTTCCCAAATTTGCCCTGTCTCTTATGGCATAAGAGCCTTAAGTCTCTTATGCTAATATTTCAAGTATGGATGTGTCGTGGTTATTAAAATTTTCTTTTTATCATAAGCCAGATATATTTCAGTGTAGGAATACTACGTCCCTAGGTTACCCAAATTTACTGTGATTTCATGGAATTTCAGATTGTGATAGGGCTGAAAACTGAACACTTGTGTTTTAAGTAGATTTTGAAAATTATAAAAATGTCTTTATTTCTATTTTAAAATGTTGAATGCATTATTTCTGAATTTAAATTCAGTTTTCCATTTTCCCCCCACTGTTATCCAATTTTGTGCTTAAAATGCCACCTGATCCTAAATCTGGAGATGTCTCTATTAAATTGTAAATGAGCACTTAAAAAAAATACTAGGCTTTAGCTGTGATTTGCTGAAGCTTTAATTCTTCCTCGGTACATCTTAGCCTGTGTAATAGTTAGCATCATCAGATTGCCAAAGCTCAAACACCACTCTTCAGCGGGCCCTTCTCAGACTTAGTGCCAACAGGCAACCAGCTTAAGGTTATTCAGGTTCTTCTTGTCCAATTTTGATCTTCCAGGCTTCTGTTTTCCCCTTCTGCTGCTTATTTTTTTTTTTCTCTTGGTTATTTAATTTATTGCTTGTGAGCTTTTCATTAAGGAGTGAGCCAGTAGGCCGTCAGTCTATTATTCATGTTGCAGCTGCTTTTTAAGATTTCAAAGAATATAATTCTGAAAAACTTAAAGTGGGGGATTGCATTTAAAATGATCTTTGAATCCAATTAACAAAACTCTTTTCCTCTGTTTGGGGTGTCTGTGTTTAAATTCTGTGTCTAAAACAAAATACTTTTATCAATATGTGCCTTTTTTTTTTAAATAAATCAACCTTTTAAATATCTATCTAATTAAAGCAACTCTATAATATATGAAACACATCACATTTGTAACCGGTGTAGTATTTATCATATGATACTTGTGGTTCAGACTGTTATTATCTGGTCTAGCTATCAAATTAAAATATACCTCATAACTTTGACGTAGTTGGGAAATGCAAAAAACAGAATTAGAAACAGTGCCACGAATAGAGAGGCAGTCTGGTGAGATTTGTTTTCTTCCAAATAATAAATTCATGATATACTGTGAGTGAGGGAGTCAGAATTTGCATCTAGGAAAATGTCTTAACACACACGCACACACACACAAGATAATATAACTGTATCACATGCACACACACACACACACACACACACATACATATAAGATAATATAATCACATCAGTGAAAGTTTGGAAGACAGTAATACATCAGCCATAATATAATCACCCGCCTTATATTTTGTGGAATTTAAGAACCAGCAAAATTTCCTGTAGAGTCAAGCTTTGTGTCCCTGTGTGTTGAAGATGGCTTCGGTCAGTCTGTATTTATATTTTTCTTCAATTCTTCTAGAATGCAGAGCCAAGCCAGATGCAGATTCCAAAAGAAACGGTAAGAGCTTTGTCTTTTGCAGGATGCAGAGATGTTGAAGAGATAAATGGAACTAACTTCTGACTAATTAAATACGAAGTTACTTGTCCTCCCTCTTCCTCACTCACAATAGATACCACATAGGTTCATTAAATTCCCAACTGGTCTCATCTTAAGGTGACTTATTGTTAATACCCTAGATGGATAATGTTTCATGATTTCTTTTGGGTAAACAGGGTTAGAACAGAGAGAGACATTAGAATAGTTTGGTGTTCACCTTCACAATAAGAGGGACCAAAATTTGGTGAGTGTAGTAGTTTGACATACATATAAAAGTCTTCATGAGTTGTGACATGTTATATTTTCAGCGGCTACAAAGTAAAAACATAAATAAAAAAGAAGACTTGATTCAGGCACAGAAAAAATAGGGAGGGCTGAAAGCACAATAAAAGTATAGGCGCGCCTGGGTGGCTCGGTCAGTTAAGCGTCTGACTTCGGCTCAGGTAATGATCTCACGGCCCGTGAGTTCGAGCCCCGCGTCGGGCTCTGTGCTGACGGCTCAGAGCCTGGAGCCTGTTTCAGATTCTGTGTCTCCCTCTCTCTCTGCCCTCCCCTATTCATGCTCTGTCTCTCTCTGTCTCAAAAATAAATAAACATTAAAAAAAATTAAAAAAAAATAGAATTAATTATCTTAAAAAAAAAGTATCATAAACAGAAAAAATAAAGTGATACATCTGTAATTAGGCTAAACATATTAGTTGTCATATTAACTTATAGCCATTACAAGTATTTTACTTATAAGTTAATGTAGCATATTATAACAGGTAATTTCTCTTAATAAAAGTAACCACTCACAGCTGAGATTAAAATGCAAACCTAGTTCTATTCTGTTAGACAAATCTTAATACGACCTGGAAATAAAGGAGTAAGTTGAGTTCTAGCAGGCAATGCTAATGTAATGAAAGTAGGGATTGCCATATCAGCCTTTTCAGTCTCTGAAAGTATGGTTTTTAGTGTGGTTGCACGGCATGGGGTAAAAAGATAGGATGTTTTATATTGACACATAACATCCAGTAGAAATTCTAACAGTCATGATGCTTTATACATCAAACAACATGGCATAAAAACGTATCATTCCCAAATTCTTCTAAGTACAAGGAAAATTTAACAAAACCATATCTCCAGTGGATGATGCTAGTGTGTATTTTTCAAAACTGTCATATTAGGTAGAAAAAAAAAATAAGAGTGTGAAGAATTTGAATAACATAGTTAACAGGTTTGGTTTCTCTTTACATACTGATAAACAGATAACTTTGAATCTAATAAACAAAATGTTATTTTAAAATATTCTATAATCACAATCATGGTTAACAAGTCAGACCTCGGAGCAAAATCAGTAAACAACCTTGAAAATATTACACATTCAGAAATATGAATGATAGAAAATTTATAGTCATAGTTTTTTATTCATAAAATCAGTTGGTCAGTGATAACTAATCAAAATCACAATGGTATTTGTGTATGAATATGGTGGGAGTAGGTGGAAAGGGTAGGGGAAATTGGACAGATTGATTTTAAAGAATTTCAACTGGGCACAAGTGTGATCTGTACTATTTCATAGGCAATAATGATGGCAAAATGTACTGTAGAGCTAAAATTCTTAAGATAGCATGATATTTGTTACAGGAATAGACAAAGAGAACATTTGAACACATTAGCAAAATAGAAACAGACCTGAGGTATATGTTAAAGGTGGTATTTCAAAATAGTGGTAAACTATGGTTTATTTCATGTTTTAAAAAATTGGCTATTCACTTTAAAAAGTTACATTTTTTTTCTCACCATACACCAAAGTAAATCCCAGTTGGTTATGAAATTAAACCTTAAACAATATTAAAAACATTTAAAAATATGTAAACAAGAATATAAATTAAAAATATGTGAAAAATTTCTGTTAACTTTGGGTACTGAATGTTTGTCCAAGCAGGGCAAAACCAAAATGTCATTAGATAAATAGATTTATTTGTGTGTTTGTGTGTGTGTGTGTGTGTGCGCGCGCGCGTGTGTGCGTGTGTGTAACTTTTGTATAGCAATAACCATACCATGAAATAGTGAAAAGGTAAATGCCAAACAGGGGAAGTATTTTGCAATGTGACCGTCGGTAAATAACCACCCCTTTATTGTTAGAATCTTCTTACAGAGCTTTTAGCAAAACAGAATGATTTCACACCTAAAGTTCAGTTAACCCTTGAATGAGGGTTTGAACAGCGTGGGTCCATGTATATGTGGATTTTTTTTTTTTTATAAATATGGTGCAGTACTGTAAACGTATTTTTTCTTCCTTATGATTTATTTAATAGTATTTTCTTTTCTCTAGTTTACTTTATTGTAAGAATACGGTGTGTAATACATATCACAAAATAGGTGTTAATCGACCGTTTCTGTTATCGGTAAGGCTTCTGGTCATCAGTAAGCTATTGGTGAAGTTTTTGGGGAATCAAAAGTTATATGAGGATTTTCTAGTGTGTTGGGGCAGGGGGGAGTTGGGGGCATTACCCATAATCACCACCTGTTAAGGTCTAGGACAGTGTGAGACAAAATCTTGCTGTAAGCTGTAAAGATAGACATATTCTCTGAAAACATTTAGGCAGTCCTGGTGGGGAAATTGATGATTAGTCTTGACCTTTTCAATCACTAAAGGGAAGAAGTGACATGGGCTTTCAATGGAGTATTCCACTGAGAATTCCAAGGTCCATTTCATTCCACTTCTCACCCACTAGCCTTGTGTGTTCAGGAGAAAATTTGCCCAGCAAATGACAATCCAATCACTAACAAAAGAAGTTATATGCATATGTATGTGGGTCTGATTTCTGATTACAATGGAAATTTTTTCTAATGAGGGTTTTCTGAACTGAGTCAGAAATCCCAGTTTTTTTTCTAAATATTTTCTTTTCCATTTCTTGGTGTTTTGTTGTTGTTGTTTATTTGTTTTGTTTTTAATGTGTCCTCTCACATCTGTGCCTTTGTTCCTGCTCTTAATATGTATATAATATAATACCATTTTGGGTTTTTAAAGGCTTCATGTTACATTATTAACTTAAAAAAAATTGACTTCCTGGGCCTCTGCTTCTCTTTGCACCTTTTGAGGGCAAGTCATTAAATTCATTCAAGTCTTGAAATTCTCTGATATTTGTTATTTAAACTTTTATGTAATTGTACGCACCTCGAGAATAGATAGGTCCTAAAACTCAATTAATCGTTTGTTCGTTGATTATTACAATGACCCATAACTGATTTAGTCTGAGAAATTGAAAATATGTCATTAAGGTATGTTGAGTAAGTTCAGTGACTACTAGACCTCTTGAATTGATGAGATATAAGTTTTCTGTACGTCTTCTAAATATCATCTTAATTAATGAGAGCAGCAGATTGTCTTCTAAATATCATCTTAATTAATGAGACCAGCAGATTGTAGCCAGGGTGCAATGGTACAAGAACATGTAGCTCTTGGGTCCCAAATACACCAGGTTCAGACGCTTGCTCCTGACAAAATCCAGAGGCAGAGAGACGGCTGGAGGTGAAACAAGAGAGGGATTTATTTCAGTGAGGCCAACACCAGGAAGACAGTAGGCTAGTATCTCAAAGATTGTCTCCAAAGTGCTGAATATACTTCTAGGTTTATATAAGGAAAATGTGGAGCAAAGGTCGGTGGGTACAAGTGTTGCTGGGTGAACTGGAGAGACCACAGGCCCTGAGGCCTCAACCCAGCCTGTCCCAAAGATGGCACCAAAGGCTCTTGGTCTTGTTACGAGAAAGAATTCCAGGACAGAAACAATAGAGCATACAAGAGACATAAGCAGGAATGTTTATTAAAGTGAGAGTATACTCTGGGGTGCCTGGGTGGCTCAGTCGGTTAAGCATCCAACTCTTGGTTTTGACTCAGGTCATTATCTCCTGGTTTGTGAGTCTGAGCCCTGCATCAGGCTCTGTGGTTACAGTGTGGAGCCTGCTTAGGTTTCTCTGTCTCGCCCTCTCTCTCTCTTCCTCCCCCCACTTGGGCTCTCTTTCTCTCTGTCTCTCAAATAAATTAACTTGAAAAAAAAATCTAAAAAAAGTGAAAGTATCCTCTCAAGATGTGAGAGTGCCCTGGGGGTTGGGTTTCTATCTTATATTGAAGGTGCGGAATATTCACTACTTGGGGTGGGGATTTCTCAGAAGCAGGTTTTGAGCCTTTTCTTCCTTATTTGGTCAGGGGTTTCTGGCCTACTTTGTCAGCCATCTTGGGCCTATCTGGTTTGATCCAGCTTCTTGTGGTTTTGTTTTGGATTGTTGCCAGGACAGGCAACTGACTTTCTCAGTAGCTGGCCTTGACTTCCTTTTTCTTGGCCTCCAGGTCTTCTGTTAGAACCTAACTAACTGTCTCTAACACATACAGGTGGGCAGTGAATGTCGAGTTGATCATTGTCTTGGGGTCAGTCACACTTGGGTCTTGCTGGCTCAGGGGAGTCCTTATTGCCTGAGGGGCTAGTTTTGGTTCCCATGAGGACATGATTTGCCCACTGTGTCTTTTGCCTCAGTTAAGAGATAAGCTGAAAACAAGAACTTAATCTATTAGAAAGTACAGATTGAGGTCAAAATGGAAATAGTTGAAGTCCTTTTTTAAGATTAGAAACTTTAGCTTCAAGTTACCCATTCAGGATTGAACAAAATGCCAAAATATTTAACAGAGGCTCAGTGTCACTTGCTCTGTGCCCTGAACATACTCCTTTGTCTCTGAGAAGTTTATTTACTTGATAGAAAGCACTCTTATGTGGATGTCCTGGTTGGACAAGACAGTACTTGGGTGTACTAAGTCACGGTGATTCTCCAGAGAAATGGAACTAATAGGATACGTCTGTGTTTAGGAAGAGATTTTAGCATAACGGATTATCTAGTGTGATTGTCAGGGCCACCAAGTCCAAATCTGCAGTGTTTCAGTCAGCGGATTGCAGACCCTGGAGAGCCACTGGTGCAGATGACTT